TAAAACCAAACAGGTAACATTAATTGTAAACGTAATGTTTATTTAACTCCATATATCCCAAATGTTATTTCAACCTGTAATTAACGTAAAAATTCCTAGTGAGAAATTTCACACTCATACCCTCATACTGAACCCCCTAAAGCTGGCGTGTGTCCCACACTTGTAGCACATCCCAGCTCGGATGTGTCACCGGACGTGTCACATGCTCGATGGCCACAGCAGGCCGTGCTCCTGGCTGGACAACCCAGCCAGCGCTGGCCAGACCCCGTGGCCTTTCCTGCTCTTCTCACCGCCAGGCAGCCCTAGATATAATATTCACAGAATGATTGTGGGCTCCTGTGCTATTTTTAGCTTCGTTTCTGTTTGTGTATTTAAAAGAGAAAATAAAAATACTTAATAGGGAGTTAAAACAACATTGAGAAAGGCTTCCCACCCTGCCTGCGGGCTTATCTGCCTCTCTGGGGAGTGTGAACTGGATGGGCCTGATCCCCAGCCACGGGCCTGGGGCAGCCGAGATAATGACTTAATTAACGCCTGCACTGGGCACTTTTGATCTTCAAGGGCCTGGAGCCCACACGGCTGAGGCTGCTTATGGATTAATAGCCTAGAATGAAGAAAGCCTTGCCCAGAGATAAAGGGAAACCATGGTGTTTCTGGTGTTTCGTCACTACAAATTGTTCCCAAATCCGCTCTGGCACTGGGGCAGGGGCCTGGATTTGGGTGCCCAGCTGGCCCCCACCTGCCCAACCCAGGCTCAGGCAGCTGGCCAGATGCACCCTTGCTGGGGAGCATCACAGCCCCAGGGGAGTGTGCTGCTTCTTCCGACTCCCATTTCCCAGATGAGGGAACAGGACCCAGGGCAGTCTAGGGACAGTCACACCAGAAGGCCAAGGTCAAAGGACCGAGAGCAGAGGGAACTAGGATTTGTCCCTCCCCTCCCCAACGCTGTGGGACCTGGGCTCCAGCCCTAGTGACTTCTTGCCAGGTGGCCGCGCCATCCTCCATAATGCTGCCTATAAGCCGGAGGTGCAAACGCTGCCTGAGCAATTCAGATTTTGCGTGTTGACAGAGCTTGCACCGAGGGGCCGTGAGCCCCACTGCCTAGAACTGGGCAAAGGGCTCCACTGTCCCCTCATTAAGTAGGGGTGGCATGAGTCTCCACCCAGCACTTAGCACCTTGCTTGGCACAGTCCAAGTGCTCAGTACTGCCATTGACGCTACTGACACTAATGACGGCAATAATTGAGCGCCTATTGGTGTCAAGTCCTGGACAAGCACCAGCTGTGCAGCAGTGAGTGGGGATGCATTGAGGACGAGGGTGACAAGCCAGCCTGCATGTGCCAAGGGCTGGGCTCCTAGACCCTCCAGCCCCCTACCCTACCCTGAGGAATGGCCAAGGCCCCTCCTCCCTGGGTGTGGGGGGGTCTTAGGGATGGTGGGAGGGAACATGCAAGGGGCAGACGTCTGTGACGGCCCCCCTCTCGCGGCCTGTGGGTCTGTTCAGAGCACAGAGCCATGGGCACATAGTCAGGGCGCCCAGGGAAACCCAGGATAGTTTTGAAGCACCGACAGGGAAACCCAGGATAGGTCTGAAGCACCGGCTCCGGGGGCGACCGGACATCCGGAGACCGCCAGGTGCGATTCACCGCCCACCAGCACCTCCCCCCCCAGTTCCCCTCAGCGCCCCTTCTTCCCCCAGTGGCCCTGTGCCTGACCTCGGAGCGCCCACAGCCTCCCAGGTGCGCGCCGCGGCCTAGACGGGATTGTTTCGGGCGCGTCTTCCTCCCGTACACAGCCAGGAGTCGGTCGGGGAGAGCGCCTGTGCCTCCGGGCCTGCGCGGGGATGCCCCGCGGAGCCTGGAACGCCGCGCCCACGCGCTCGGGCAGCGGCCGCCCACGCCTCCTCCGACTCCAAAGTATATTTAGCCTCATTATCAAATGTTTGCAGTGAACCGTGTGAACCGCCTAATAGCGGCTGGAAGTGAAACTCGATTCCTGGCCAGAATGAAGCATGTGACCACTCCCCTCAGCCAGGATCAGCTACAGGGCGGGCGGGGCAGGTCCTGCGGCATCCGCGCAAAGCGATGCGTGCCTGGTCTCCGGTGGCACCGCCCCCCCTCCGGCCCTCCTCTCTCAGCCCCCTTCTCCAGGGGCTGAAATGAGGACTGGAGTTTGTCAGAAAAATGAAGGCCGGGGAGAGGGCCCACGCGCGCGTGGGTTCTCACCCAAGTTGGCGACCTCTTGATTAAGTCAGTCCCACGCCTCAGTATCCAATCCTCGGAGACAGCCCCTAGGGATCCAAGTCTTCCAGTTTCTTCCAGGGTCCCGGAGAGGGTGGGGCACGCAGGGTAGGGGTCGTTGTCCCACGTTGGTCGGACCTCGGGTAGGATTGTTTGGGGCACGTCTCCCGCACAAAGCCAGGAGTGGATCCCAGGGCGCGCCGTGTCCCGCGCGTCCCCCAAAGGCGGCTGTCGCGCGGCCGCACAAGTTTTTGCCTCCCTCGCGTGGCCGCTGTTATTGCGGTCGTCATGACGACGGGTCGCGGTTTTATTTTTAATAGCGGCCGGTGATTAGCGAGATGCCTGCGCCGCTGTCGCCGAAGCCCTGGCGTCCAGGGGTGGTGCACCCAGGCTGCCGCAGCTCCTTGCCTTGCTCCTGCTGAGAGTCGCGTCGAAGGCGCCTCCTTCCGGGTCCTCAGATCTCCCCTCCTGGCCCTAAACTAGCGCCGGGCAGTGTAGCGCCAGGCCAGAAGAGGAGCGGAAGGAAGGACTCACCAGGCTCTCAGAGAAGGCTTGGACCCTAAAGGAACCTGCGAGCCTCGGTGTGGGGGGTTGGGGTCGGGAGGGCCAAGTACCCCGTCTGCAATACTTCCTGCTGAAGTCCACACCCACTGTCACATGGGGTCCTCTAGGCCCAAAGAGGTGTCCTTGGGCCCCTCTGGCCTTGAGGAGTCCCAGGCTCAGCTGGACACCATGGCACAACCCCCCCCCCACCGGAAAAGTAGGTGAGGAAGAATCGGACCCGGGTCCATCCTGGGTCCTGATGGTGGCTGTTCGGCTGCCTTCCAGAACCATTGAGCGGGGTCTCCTTCTCCAAAGCAACAGAAGGTTCCACCTGGGCGGACAAGGCCTGGCTTTCATGCGCTTCTCGACGTTTCCAAGTTTTCCCTTGTTCTGTCTCGGGCCTGCCTTCTCCTGACCACACTGAGAGCGCACCTACAGCGGGGGCGCAGTGTGGGGCTGTGGCCCGAGGGGAGGGACGTGGAGAAGGTGGGAGCTGCAGGAGTGTGGAAGAGTGCGGGTGGACGCGGGCCCACTCTAAGTAGCAGGAGTGGCCCCACCCCCCAGATATTTGGGGGCAGGCTAGCGCCCCGAAGCGCACTTAGGACTGGGCCTTTGAAATGCCAGAGCCAGGCGAGCAGGGGATGAAAGACCGCCCGCGGGGCTGCGCCTTTACTGTTTTCGTCTGACGGGAGGGCAGCCGCGGCGGGGCTTAATCCCCAGGATGGGGGAGTGTGTGACGGCTAGAGCGGCCAGAATTCTCCTCGGCCGCCCACACAGCCACGCACGCGTCTCCTAAGCTTCAGGGGCCCAGGCCACCTAGCTTTGCAGTCCGCACGGCCCGCCACCTCCCCAGCCGTGGTGCCAGGGCACGTACACACCCTGGAGGAGGCACTCTCTTGGGCTTATGGGTTCGCAGTCGGGGTCCCATCTCACCTAGCCTAGGCAGGCGGAAGCCACCCGCGCGGGAGCACTGCCCTTTCGCAGCGTGGGAGCCGTCCAACCGCGCTCAGACTGCGGGCTCTGTGCATAGTGCTCCCCCGCACCGGGGCTGTGCTGCTCCCTGCCCGGAGGCGGCGCTCTGTGCGCCCGCGGATTCGGACGCGGGGAGCTCAGCACCTGGGGGTTCCTCACGTGCGGCTCCTTTTTCTTCGTTCCCTTCCACCCCTCGAGTTCCCGGCTCAAGGCGCGGCCCGACCATCCAGGAGGGAGCGGAGCCTTGGGGGCTGCAGGGTCCCACGGTGGGGATGAGGCAGGCTGCAGCCCCTTCCTCTGACCTGGGCTCCCTCCCATGTCGAAATGTGGGTGGAGGCTCCTCATTCAGATGCCCCGGGCTTCGGATCCTTGGCGGGGGCGCGTGGCAGCCGCCAGGTGAGTTCCCCAGACGTTTCCCCAGAACCCGCCCCACCTCTCACCAGTGACTGACTCCCCCTCCTTTTATGGAGAGGGGAAAGCAGGGGCCCTGGATCCAAACGGTGAAAGGCGAGCGCCAGGGCGGGGGCCGGGGCCGGCTCTCCAGCCCTTTTTGGCGCAGCAGCTCAAGGCGCTGCCCTCTGCCGCCGCTGGGGCCCGTGAGAGGCGAGCCGGCGACGGCGGCGCTTCTGCGGCGGCCTCCTCCCCTCCCCGCCCGGTGCCGCAGGATTGCAGCTGGCACTGGAGGGTGGGCAAGCTCGAGGGAGGGGCGCGCGGGGAGCCCCGGCGCCTGTGCTCAGAGCCCAGCGCGGGGCTTTGATGGATTTAGCTGCCTGCGTGAGCGCGTGTGTGCTCGCTGCTGCGGTGCTGGCGGCCGGGCCTTGCCCGGCCGGCGCGACCCTCGCACGCTTCCGAGGTGCGGGTCCCGGGCCCGGAATCCGGGGGAGGCGGGGGGAGGGGCGGGGGAGGGGCGCGGCGGCGGCGCTATAACCCTCTCCCCGCCGCCGGCCGGCTCCACACGCGCGCCCTGCGGAGCTCGCACAACTCCAGCGAGCCAGGCCTGCCTGCTCCTCCTCCTCAGCCGGCAGCAGCTGCGGCAGCGGCGCCTGCTCGGCCCTGCGCCCGCCCTCAGGCCCGCGCAGGCGGCGCAGCGAGGCCCCGGGCGCTGCCGGCCGCGGCGGAGGGCGGAGCGCGGCGCCCGGAGCCGAGGGCGCGCCGTGGAGGGGCGCACGCAGGCCGCCGAGCCTCGCAGTGCTGGGCCGCGTTGTGCCCGGCCGGGCAGCGGCTGCGAGAGGAGGCCGGAGGCGAGCGCGGGCCCGGCGGTGGGCGCCCAGGGCCGCCTGCAGCCCGCAGCTCGCAGGGAGAGCGCAAACCCGCAGCAGAGGCCGGGCCGGGCCGGGCCGGGCGTCTAGACAGGTGATCCGTAGTGCGGCGGCAGCGGCTCCAGCCTCGCTCTGGAGTCCCTCTCGGGGCCGATGCCCACAAATATGCAGAATTACCGGCCAAGGCGCTCCTAAAGCCAGCGCCGGGGAGCGAGCGCGCCGGCGGCCAGCACCGGGAACGCACCAAGGAAGAAGCCCAGCCCCCGCCCTCCGCCCCTTCCGTCCCCACCCCCTACCCGGCGGCCCAGGAGGCTCCCGGCGCGGCGGGCGCGGCGGGCGCGCACTCCCTGTTTCTCCTCCTCCTCGCTGGCGCTGCCTGCCTCTCCGCACTCGCCGGGCGCGCTCCGCCGGCTCCCTGCTCCGCGCCACCCTCCTCCGGGCCGCGCTCCCTGAGGGATGGTACTGAATTTCGCCGCCACAGGAGCCCGGCTGGAGCGCCCGCCCCGCGGCCTCGCCTCCCCGCCGAGCCGCCAGCGCCTTGGGACGCGATGAGGACCTGGGCTTGCTTGCTGCTCCTCGGCTGCGGATACCTCGCCCATGCCCTGGCCGAGGTTGGTGCCGCCCCCGCGCCCCGTCCCCTCTCGGACTCCCCCGGCGCACACCTTCCGCGGCCGCCCGCTGGCCAGGGTGGTCTGGGCTCTGCAGAGAGCATTTTAATTTATATGCTAGGGTGGCCGATTTTTTAGAATTTCCGAACTGGGTTCTATTTTCTGCCATGCCTAAGTGTGTCTGGTGAGTTTCCAGCGTGTTGCGTCGCTCTGCCTTGGAGGCACCGGGAAGCAGCGAGGTGGACGAGTGGGGAGAAACTTCGGGGGGCGCGGACGCCTTTCCGGGGAGGGGTAGCTGGGGCGCGGCGGGCAATGCAGCAGCGGGGTGCGGAGAGCGGGGAAGGGGGTGTGTGTGAGCTGGCGGAGCCCAGGGAGGGGAGGAGGGCAGCCGACTAACAGGTAGAGATGGCTGCGGCTGAAGCCCCCGGGCGGGCAGGGTGGGCAGCGCCGATCCCCAGCCCCGGGTTCCTGGTCCCCAAGCCCGGCCGTGTTCAGGGCCGGGGCAGTCCCGCCCGCCCGGGGCCTGCTTACAGGTGGCTGAGCTAGGCGAGCTGGGGCCGGGCCAGGCGCCCGCGCCCTCCCACCGCGCCGTCCCCACCCCCAACCCCAAATTCCCGGGAGCTGTGCTGTGATGAATGACTTTCTGCAGCCCCCGTCGTGGGAACTTGGTGCTAGAGGCTCTCCAAGCGACCCCCGACTCCTTTTAAAAATCAGGAGGAGAGTGGGGGGCGAGAGGTGAGGGCGGTCTGGGCAGGGACCTGCGGGCTGCGAGAGGTGGATATTTAACCCTCGCTTTCCCTGGCAGCCTCTCCCAGCTGCCGGCTGGATTTGGGTGTCTTAGTCGGCGCTAGGGCCGCGGCTGGGCCAGAGCCTGGGGTGGGGCGAGTGTGTGAGTGAGAGTGTGTGCGCGAGTGTGTGTTGTGTGTCTGCGCGCGTGTGTTTGTGAGACGGAGAGACTCCTCTCGGCGGGTTCACCCGGGATTCCGGGGCGTGAAATTTAAGCCCCTGGCTAGATTAAAGTGTTAGGGCCGCCGTGACTTTCGTCGTCGATCCGTGACGCATTTCAACTTGATCTTTCTAGATGTTGATCTCACTATTAAATCACAAACTCCCCGGCCCCCTCGCCGCCCCCAGACCTTCTGTAACTGACACCCCTGGCGGAGGGGCCAGAGTGCGGGGGCTTTTGTTTGAAAATTTAAAGGTGGGGGGACTTTAATTTTGCAAAGGGCAGAAATGGATGAGTCGGAGAATTCGGGGTCTCTCTCAGCCCCACCCCCGGCCTCTGGTTCCCGGGCCCAGGCGAGGGCTCTGCGTGGGCCGGGGCGGGGGCCGCGGCCAGCGCTGGCGGGGTCACTTCGGCCCAGGGAAGAGGCGCGCTCGGCGGCCGGGGCGCAAGCCGGCGGGGCCGGGTCCGCGGGTGCTGACCGTGTGGCCTCTGCTTGCAGGAAGCCGAGATCCCCCGCGAGGTGATCGAGAGGCTGGCGCACAGTCAGATCCACAGCATCCGGGACCTCCAGCGACTCCTGGAGATAGACTCCGTAGGTAAATCGCGCCCCTTCCCTTGGCGCGCGGGGAGGGGCGGGCGGGGAGTCTGTGCGCCCCGTGCCGCCTCCCGCGCTCGGGCCGGGCCGGGCGCCGCGCAGGAGCGCACCGAAAGGTCAGAATCCAATCCTCGGCCATAAACGCCCAGGCGGATGAGTCAGGAGTTTCTCTTCCAATCGCCACTTTCTCTCCCAGCGACGGCCGAGGGCTGCTCGCTTGCCCAGGGATTGTTTTCGCATTTAAGGAAAATGCCGCGTGTGCCACAGAAAGTTCAGCCGCATAGAGGGCGCCGGCGCCCCAGTCAGGTGTGCCGGCCTCGCGCCTGTCCCGGGGTGGAGAAGCATCGGGAGCCGGCCCAGGCCCTGCGCGCAGAGCCCTGGCCCGAGCGCGGGGCAGCGGTCCGCGAAGCGAGGCACCAGGGGCAGGCGCAGCTCCGGGTCCACGGGCGGCGCAAGGGAGGAGCCGCCCGCCCGGGGGCCAAGGCCCTTTGTAATCGCTGGGAGCTGGTGGGTTGTTACCCGGGAGGCTGGGCCATGTAGCTGCAGGAGAGGAGGCCCTTGTCTTTCTCCTTTCACGACCCTATAAAAAGGCACTACTTGCACACATCTGCTCCCTGGGGTCTATTTTGGGGCTCACCCTCAGGGCCTGGAGCCCAGCCACTTTAGAGAACAGTTTGTTTGTAAGCACAGAGTTTTGAACCGGTGTCAGCTGCAGAGTAGGACTAGACTCAAGAGCCGCAAGGGTTAAAAGGGTTTCTCACTGGCCAGGGACCCAGGTTGACCCCAGGAGGGGGAGAGTGGCTGTGGGCTTGGGTGGCCACCCGTCTGGCTCCCCTCCGTGAGGGATGGAGGAAGCGCCTTCCTGGAAGACAGGGCACCGACCTCAGCTTTCTGGGGCCCTTTTCAAAATTAACACTTGGCCTGGAAACTTCAGCATGAGAGTAAACGAGGGAAGCGCTCACGTGGGAAACCTTGTTGGTTTTTAAAAAGCGCCTAAGATGAACTTGTTGAAAAGAGTAACTAAAGGCAATAGAATTGGAAGAATTTTAAGTGAAATGAAGGTTTTTCTCTCCCTGCAAACTACTCTGAAAAAGGGGGGTGGTGGTGGTGGCATTAAGTAAAATCACATGGTCTAGTCATTTGGAAATTTGTACCTAATTATGGTGGTGGAGAGGCCTGAACTATTTTCATTTCATGCCAAAACCATTTTCTAACGAGGCCGATGGTTTCTGTAGTTTCTTGACCCAGGAAATCCTCCGGCTGATCCTTATCTGGATGGGGGTAGAATTTCACTTAGAGATCAGAGTTGGGCCAGGGGGGATTTTGATCTGGTCCCTTGAAGAGTAACCCTGGGGAAAAGGGTTTGGCTTAGGGCTGCCGGGAAAACACCCGCCTGTGTTTTGCTGGTCTCCCTGAATTTGGAAGTAGAGGACTGCCTGTCTGAGAGAAGGTTCCGGGGCTTTTTGTCTGGCTTCTGATGCTGCAGGGAAATGGGCCATTCACTTGCCGGAGGGACCATTCTTATTCTGCCTCTGCAGCCCCGCCCCCACCCACCCCACCCCCACCCATTGACACTTTAGCCCTGCAGCACTGTGGGGCTCTGCTGAAGCATTCCTGACCTGGGGACTTCACCGACCCTCTTTGGGGCGGGCCCAAACGGATGCACCAGCCTGTCCCTCCTGGCTGGTTTCAAATTGCCCGCTGTAAAAATGTCTCAGGAGCTCTCCTGCCTCAGGCTCCAGGGAATACAGAGGGTGGGGCCCAGCCCTCCCGCTACCTGTCCTACAGTTTGGGGTCTGGATGTGATTCTCCTAGTGCCTGGGAAACTTGGGGTGGGTTGGAACACAGTGTGGCCCCTTGCCTCCCAGCCTTGCCCTTGGAAGAACCTTTTATGACTGCAAACCCCTGGTCCAGCCTCCTCCCCAGGTGTGGCCTGAGGACAAAGAGAAGTGCTGGTGCTGTTCCTGCCCTAAGTTAAGAGTTGAAAACTGTCAGGTGGCTGGGGGAGGTGGGACAGGGCTGCTGTGGCCATGCTTGTGAGTAGGCTGCCTGGGGCTGCATGTGGGATAACTCTCCCTGGACTTCCTTTATCCACTGCTTGACTCCCAGAGGTGGGCCCTTCCAGGTTGATGTTCTTGGTGCTGGGTTCCTGGAGATGATGCTTCAGAAGGCCGAAAAGAGGCTTGTCCAGTGTGTCCCAGGGAGACAGCTCCCCCTCCACCACCGCAGTGTGGTTGGCACAGGGCTCCTCTGTGTGCAGGCTGTGTCCCCATCTCACAGGTGAGGGAGGGAGCTGGCCCTTCCTCCAACTTGCAGCGCCCCAGCCATGCAAGGAGGCCCTGAGCTGGTGTGACTCCAAGCCCAGGCGTCCCGAGGGCGTGTGCAGAGTAGTTGCAGGAGTAGTTGATTTTCCATGTGTGGCTTTTGGATTCAGAGACCAGTGCATGATGTTGCCGTGACCAGCGGCCTGCTCAACCCGTGTGAAGTGGTGGCAGGGAGCCTTGTTGTCTGAAGCAGCAGGCTGGCCTGGCGCCCAGGGGCCATGGAGCAACCGATACATAAGTATGCCCATAATGCTCCCCCAGGACGATGGTTGCAGGACCTGTGTGTGCAGAAGACAAAAGGGAAAGCCTTGACAGCTGCCCTGGGAGCAGTTTTAGGGAATGCTTTATGCGGGGCTGGAGTGAGTCCCTTCTCAACCCCCGTGAATCAGAGTGGCCGCTGCTCCCACTAGCGTGGGTCACCTCTTGTTTGTGGCCACCCATCTTGATCCTGGGCGGAGGAGGGTGGGCTTGTCCGACCAGGAGCTATCCCTGCCTCTCCTTTGGAAAGAAACTCGCCGACTCAGACGCAGCAGGGCGGATGAACTGGCAGCGCTCTTGTCCTCTGTCTATTAAGCCAGGGCGAGAGGCCTGCGCTGCGGGTGGTGTCTGAGTGCGTCTGCCACTCGTCTTTGTCTTGTTAGGTCTCTCCGGGCCTCAGTATCCTCAGATGCGACGAGGTGAGAGCACCTGCCGCACACGTGTAAAGACCAGGCGTCAGTGAAACAGTTCGCGCCAACGTGGCCGTAGTACGGCGCGGGAACGTGGCAGCTGGCGCTGGTGTTGCGTTTCCTCCTGGGTGCTGAGCGTGGGCCAGTTGCTCTTTGGTTTGGGCATGTCAAGATGCCCACCACCAGGACATGACTCAGATGTGTCACTTTTCTGTGAAAAAATGTGTCTTGTAACAGTTGGTTGATGGGAAATTCTTACTGCATGAGTAGTTCTGTTCTGATCTTATTTCGGGTCTCAAAAAAAATTAGTGGCATTGGAACATTGAGTCATTTTAAGTAGAAAGTCAGGCTGAGACGTGGTCTTCGCCATTCACACCGTATGCAATGTTTTCACACCGCGTGCAAGGATCGGTTTAAATGTGAGGCTTCAGACTTCTGGGGATGGAGGAAGCTGAGTGTCCTTCCCTCGGTTTGCGGACCATCACTGACACCTTGGTGGGCCTGGCAGAAAGCGACCTTAGTCCTTCTGCACTGGGGAGGGGACTTCTTTCTGGTCTGGGCTAGTGGCCAAGACATCTCAGAACTCCCCAGCAGTGGATGTCGCAGTCTTAGTGCATCTGGAGAGTCCTGGCAGTTGGGGCCACCGTTTTAGGACCTGTTTGCCCCCGTTATATATTGGGGAAGCTGGACACAGGGTCATGGGAAGAGACCCCCAGCTATGTCCAGACCAACAAGGCAGGGAGACCAGTGTGGTGCACTTCACCCAGGGGTGGGCAGTGTCAGTGGGCTGGGCTGGTCCATGTGGCAGGTGGCAGGACTGTGTCCACCCCCACCTGTCTCCGCAGTGATCATCCCCTTTAAGTGGGGTGGTCTGTGTGCAGGGGTTAGGTGCTTGGTGCTGATACAGGTCCAGCTCCGCCTGGCTCTGGGCCACTGCTCTGTGGCTGGGGCCTTCTCACTACCCCGCCCGCACCTCCCTGCCCTGCCGTGGATGTGGTGGTGTACATACGCTGGGCTTCCCACACCTTCCTCTCTGCAGGGGGGAATTTCTCCCCTCTCTCTGCCAAGCCCTGGATCTCCTCCAGGTGCTCCACGAGAGGCCATGGCCTCTGGCTCTCAGTGGATACTCATTTCAGGAACAAGTGGGGTCTGGCTCACAGCTCAGCCTGGCTCTTCTGGCACTTGTTAGAGGTTAGGACCCGCCATCAAGGCTTGGCTTGGCGGGAGGCAGGCAGAGGAGACACACGTGCACCCACAGAGTCTCATCAGGCTTGTCCTTTGGTCCCAGAGAGGGGACAGCCTGGCAGCTCTGAATCCAGAGGTGGCCAGGCTGGGGGGCCATAGGCAGCTGGTTCTTCCAGCCCCCCTTGGCCTCACCTGTCTTCCTTGGAGGTGGTGCGATGGTGAAGGCCACCTGCATGCAGCCCCTTCTCCAAAGGGGCCTCAGCTGTGTCCCAGGGCCTAGCATTTTGGGGACCTTCATGCTGATGGGTCATTTTTGGCAGTTTCAAATGTTTTCTCTCCTGCACATCTGAAAAGCCCTTGGTGGGAATGGAGGGTGTCCCAGGAGACCCTTTGAGGTGGGGGGCAGGGCTGCTCCTCGTGCCCAGGTAGTCTGCACCTACCTGCAGGAAGTGCTGCTATACAGGCCCCAGGCACACCATGCAGGTCTGGGTGGGCTGGTCGCCATTTTCTCTTTCCACCTGTAGGGGCTGAGGATGCTTTGGAAACCAGCCTGAGAGCCCACGGGGCCCACGCTGCCAAGCATGCGCCCGAGAAGCGGCCTGTGCCCATTCGAAGGAAAAGAAGCATCGGTGAGTCCTAGGAGGCTGCTGTGGGTGAGGGCAGGGTGGGGGCAGGAGAGGGCCTGGCTCTCCCCGACTCTAGCCCCAGGCAAGCCACCCCTTCCCTCTTCCATGAAGCAAAGTCTAGCCCCAGGCAAGCCACCCCTTCCCTCTTCCATGAAGCAAAGTCTCGGCCCATGTCTCTGGCCTCTGGGGGCCTCCTTCCTGCCGGAGTGTCTCCCGCGCCAGCCTGCCTGCCCCTCAAGGAGCAGTGGTCTGGGCCAAGAGTTTCCAGGAGAGAAGAAGCGTCATAAATTCCTTAAGTGCCCGATCCTGTTGGGGCCTGTCCTCCAGGAACCTGGCTGGAAACCTGGTCCTGTTGAATTTTCATTTCGCTCTGTGCTGGGGCAGCCGTGTGTGCCCGGTGGGCTGCTCAGGCGCCCCTTGCCAATTCCTGCGCCGCCCCCTGCTCACATCTGGCTCTAGAGCTATACCTGGGTGATGGTTTGGAGGATATTTTGATTCTTGTCCCCTCTCATGGGGCATCCTCAAGTCCCTCTGGCCCAGGAGGAGAAGTCAGCTGGTTGGGGGGCTCTGGGGTCTGGTCTGTGCCTTCTTGCCAGAGGGGAAGGGTGCGGGATGGAGTGTGTGTGTGACCCACCAAGTTCCACACCCTCCAGGATCCCCCCTGCTTGGCAGAGCTGCATGGGTGTGAGCCCCAGCTGCTGCTCTGAGCAAGTGGATCCCCCAGCTTTAGTCTCCTCCAAGAAGGTGGCCCTTGTACCTTCCACCTTTGGGTGGCATGTGGGCGAGTGATTCCTGGTTACCGTAGGCGCCCTCCCCAGGCAATGTGTGCTGCAGGAATCACACATTTTACACCCTTCAGGCCAGCTTTGGCCGCATGGTCTTCTAGCCAGTGCTGTAGATTCCAGCACTGGGTCCGACAGGAGGCAGTGGCCACAAGCAGGACTGCAGGCCTCTCCCTGGCAGCTGCCGTTGGTCCCTCCTTCCTGTGGCTGTGGGTGGGTTCCTGAGGACCCCTAGTGTCCTGCCTGGCCCCTCATCCTCTGGCCAGCTCAGCAGCACCCTGTCAGGGAGGGGTCTGGCCTGCGCCTCACCCTCGGGGCCAGGTCCTGAGGAAGGCTGTGGCAGCTCCGTGGGGCTCCTCCTGTCTGCTCCGGGGTCACAGTCACGCCAGGCCTGGGTGGGGCAGGTGCTGTGCCTCGGGCCCTATGCTTAGTGTGCGCCTGCCTTTGCAGAGGAAGCTGTCCCCGCGGTCTGCAAGACCAGGACTGTCATTTACGAGATTCCGCGGAGCCAGGTCGACCCCACATCCGCCAACTTCCTGATCTGGCCCCCGTGTGTGGAGGTGAGACGCTGCACGGGCTGCTGCAACACCAGCAGCGTCAAGTGTCAGCCCTCGCGGATCCACCACCGCAGCGTCAAGGTGAGCCCCGGCCGCCCGGGCCACCACCCCAGGGCAGCCTCGGTCCCTCTGGTCACTGCTCAGGCACTCGGCTGGCTGGTGGAGCTGGTGGGGGCTGTGCTCCTGTGTCCCTGACAGGTGCACTGAGGCCTGGAGAGGAGGGGAGGCCCGGGTGCAGAGGGGGTAGGGCGGAGCTGTGGCTCCCAGTCTGCTGGGCCGGGTCCGGCCTCCTTCCAGGCCCCCACGCCCTCTCACTGGGGGCAGGGCTCCGACACCGCACTGTTTGAGACTGCCTCTGCCTCGCCAGGGCATCTTGCAAGGGGTCCACCGCTGAGTTGGACGCTGTCGGCATTCCCAGGCCCCGGAGAGCAGGCGCCTTGGGGAGCTGTGGTGCACTCGAGAGGGGTTGGGGGTCCCGGATTTGTGGAGGGAGCTTGGGGGGTGGGCCTTGCGGTCGGGCAGCTGCCCCCAACTGTGGCTTTGGGGCCTGGGTGAGCTGTTCTTTCTGCACATTGGGGGTGCTGCCCGTCCTGCTCTGGCCGGCTGCTGTGACACGGGCCGAGGGCAGGGAGCTAACAAGCAACGGGGTTTGTTCCTCAAAGGTCCGGAGGCTGGAGGTCCTCATGGCGCCTGCAGATTTGGCGTCTGGTGCGGACCCATTTCTGGTTCATAGGCGGCACCTCCTTGCTGTTGTGTCCTCGTGTTGGGGGAGGGGAGAACAAGCTTCCTCAGGCCTCTTCAGAAGGGCGCTAACCCCGTCCGTGAGGACCCCACCTCCTAACCCCGACACCATCCCCTGTGGGTGAGGCTCTGGGCACCGGAATGGGGGGAACTCACCTGCTCCCTGGGTTGCTGTAGGAGGGGCGCGGCCCCCAGATGGCCTTGCCCAGCATGTCCCAGGAGGGGCCTCCATGGCCGGCCGAGCCCCTTACCCTGCCCTCCCTGCTCAGGAGCCTGTGCTCGGGCTCCGGGGCTGGGGCAAGGCTGGCCATGTCAGAGCTAGCACACAGCGCTGGCCACAACGCCCTGTCCCAGGTGGGGGCAGTGCTGGGGACTCGGGTTGACCACGCTTAAATTACCTGTGGGGGCTTCTTTCTGTCCCTGCATGAGTAGTCTGGGGGCTGTTCTGTGTCTGCGGGTCCTGCCGGGCAGCCGTGGGGCCTGTGGCTCTTGGCATGGAGGCTGCTGGGCCTGGGTTTGCTCCCTTTGCTCCGACTCCCTCTTCTGCACGGCCGGTCTGCGGCAGGACACCTGGCCGTGCTGGGGGATGGGCGGTTTCCCTGCATCTGGGGCTCAGTCCCTGTCTGGGGACCCGTCTCTCATTGTCAGGACAGGGTCAGAGGTGGTGCGTCTGAGGAGTCCTCTGGCTTCTGTGGCCTGGCTGGTACTGGTGCCATCCCTGGGCTCCCATGTAGGAGAGGTGGGTCCTCCTGGGGCTCGTGTCCCTGGAGACAGGCTCTGGGGGCTTCAGGCACTGGAGGGTCCCACACAAACTTGGGGCTTAGGCGGGTGCTGTCTGCTGGGATGCACCTCCACGCAGAGCTGCCTGCCTCCCCCTGGTTTAGCTGAGCTTTTGGTGGCAGCTGGCCCACTGTTCTGGGATGGGGGTCGCTAAAACCGGGCTTGCGGATCTCAGTTCTGGGGTCACACTAGGCCCCCTTCTCTGACTGTAGAAGGTAATTATTTCAAGTCTGCCCTTCTGTGGCTCTGGGGTGAGATACCTGGGAAGAGTTTTCTTGAAGGATCCTGTGGCCGGGTGTTTATTTGTCACACGACCAGGCACTTTAGACCCATAACTGGGACTTATCTTGACCTCTGAGGACTTGGTTCCCTGCGGTGCTCGGGTACTGAGTAAGCAGGTTCTGCCTCTCACTGCCCTGCAACCGCCAAGGCCCAACGCTGCCCTTAGAAAGGCCCGAGGTTTTCCCGGGGCCCTGGGGGTGCTTGTCTGGGGGGCTCTCTCCCTTCTTCAGAGGCTGTCCGTGGGTCAGGTTGGGGCCTAACTCAGGCCTCCAGGCTCAAGCAGCCAAGGGGGCCCCAGGCACAGGCCAAGCTCTGTCCCCTCTCCAGTGTCCACTCCCCTGGGGCTCCACGGCCACCAGCCCCTCCTGTGTGACCACAGCCCAGCCTCCGCCTTTCCTGGGGTCCTTGGTGGTGGTATGTGGGGGCTCTCCTGAGCCCAAGGGCCTGGGATGCCTGTGTCTTGTTCTCCTGTGTCCTGGGTGTGGGTGCTCTGTCGAGGATACCCCCCCACGTCAGCTCCAGGAGCCGAGGGCTGTCCTTCAGTGTCCCAGAGGCCACTCCTGGAGGGGCGGGTGCCTGCATGATGTGGATGACTTGGGGAAGGTCCCTGGCGGGGGTTCCAGCCTTGCTTTCCGTGGGTGAAGACAGGAAGTGTCCAATCCCTGCTTGGGGAACGATGTCTCCTCCCTGGCTCCGAGGAGCCTTCTGACCCGGCCAGCCCCTTGGGGTCCCAGCCTGGCTCCTAGCAGTGTGGTGGGGGCCCTACTCCTTCTGGATAGTGACCCCTTCCCTGTTCTGTGGGGGCAGAGTTGGGACCAGGGAGGGGCCTTCCCAAGGTCACGGGCCATGCCCTGCAGTGCCCAGCTTCTCCCCCGCTGGAAGGCCTCTCCCTGCCCACCCGCCAGGGTTGCAGGAAAACATCCGGCCGCAGACACAGGGGGCTCTGGTGGAGGGACAAGAGGTCAGGGGAAACAGGGGGCCCATTGTGGAGGCCGAGCTGGGGCTGGTCCCTCTCCATTTGGGATCCAGGCAGATGTGGACCCGGGGCGGAGGATGCGGGCTGGAATCCCAGACTCGGAGCCCTGGCGGTGCAGGCTCAGCAGGGAGTGGTCGCCGTGGCAGTCGGGGCTGGTGGACATCCAGGGTGTGCTCAGCAGAAGGCAGCCCCGGGGAGGGGACCCAGGCCCAGGGTGTCTGGTCGGCTGGGTTGATGGCCACAACCCCGGCTTCCACGAGGACACTGCTGAGGACCTGGACATTCTGGTGACTGAACCCAGGTCAGCACTGGGGTCACAAATATGGGTCGTTCTGAGATAAGGGCCCTGGGCTGGGCTCTCCCCTCTCTCTTCCTGGACACTCTAGAGCAGACCACTCCCCCCCAGCCTAGCTCCTGGCACAGGCCCTGTTGGGGTCATGAGGTCATGGCTGGTCCTCAGCCCGGGGCCACCAGCCTGGCGGGCTTTTCCCTGCACTCTGCTTGGCATGGTGAGCACTTGGGTTCTGGTCCCTGGGTGCCCGGCTCTCCTCCAGCTGTGAGCTTTGGGGTGGGGACGTGAAGGTCAAGCTGCCTGGCCCATGGGGACTGCAGGGGCTGGCTGGACAGAGCCGAGGCCAAAAGTCCTGGTCCAGAGTGAGGGCCGAGCACTGTGCCAGGACCTCTAGGGGTGCAGTTGTGGCTCACCCCCCGCCTGCTCCCGTCCCGGAAGGAGCCAGCTCTGAGCCGCCATCCGACCAGGGCCTGGCTGGGGGCTGTTCTCAGGCAGCCTTGTAGGTCCTCAGCCTCCTCCTACATCTCCAAAAAGCCAGCGTCCAGCGCTGTAGCCGTGTTCAGGGCTGTAGGCTGTGGCCCTGCTTTGCCCAGCTGGAGCCTTCCAGAAGGCGTGTGCTCTCCTAGGGGTCCTAGGACAGGCCTCTGCACCCTGAAATGGAGTGGGAAGGCTGTTTTGGGTGACAGGTTCCTGGAGGGACCCCTGTCAGTCTTTGGGCCCCTCAAGCTGGGTTGGGCAGGGCCTCCCCACCCCAGTGTGAGGTCTGGACCTTGGCTTCGGGTCTCGGTGGCAGTGGGGCTCCAGTGCTGTCTTGGCCGGGGAGGGTTCTTGGCCCAAGCTAAGATCCTCGGTTGAGCAACAGGCTCAGTGTCTCTGCCCAGATAACGGCAGGCCGAGGGCCCGGCCTCTGCGTGTTCCAAGTCCAGGCCTCCTTCCCTCGAAAGAGAGAAGGGCCCGGCCTGGCGCTGGGGATTCAGAGCTGTGTGGCTCTGGGCAGGGTGTCGGCCTTGTCTGTGCTGACCGTTTCCTTATCTGTGAAATGGGCCTCAATTGTGTCCTCAGGGTAGCTAGAGGGTTACAGTGGTCGGCACGTGGGGTTTAGGAAACGGTGTTTTTATCCGGGCTAATATTGTCTCAAGCTTGGGAGTGGCCAGGCATCACCTGGAGTTGGGTGTGGGTGCAGGGTGTGGCTGTCCCAAACCCACCTCGGGGCCTCTGCTCCTTGCAGGAGCTGGGCGGCTGTGCTGGGGCAGCTAGGCCTGGAGGGAGGACTTGTCCTCTGGGGGGGAGTGTGCCTGGGGCTGTTCAGGTAGCTCAGCCCTCAGCACGTAAGCTCAGGAGTGGGCATCGGAATGTCTGGTGTGATAAGGTGCAGCCCGCACAGCGGGGCAGGGCCAGGGGACCCTGCGAGGCAGCTTCAGGGGGGCCCGGGGGTGGCTCTCTTCTTTGTCCTTGGCTTCCATGGAAGCGGTGTTTTGAGAATTTAATATTCGTGATGTGTTCTTGGGGGAAAAATGTAGTTATTTCCTGGCCAGACAGAGGTGGTGGAATGGCCTGGAATCCTCGCATACCCAGAAGCAGGTGCAGTCATAAATCGCTGTTTGTTTTTCTTTGATAAAAACGGGCTTGTCTGAAGAGAAAGTGGCTCCCAGACTGGAGTGGCTCGTGTTGTGTGCCCTTCGCTCGGGGACCTCGGTGGGCAGCGTTTGTTGTGTCTAGAGTCCACCTTCCCCACGGTGGCCTCCAGCGTCTGGCCAGAGGCCTGTGGTCCCTGCCGAGCCGGAGCCTGGTATCTGCTCTGCAGAGGGAACTAGGTGAGGCTGCTTGTTGACCAAAGAGGCCGTGCCACCTGGAGGGCCTGGGCCGAGAGCAGGACAAGTGCCCTGCCCGAGCCAGCTTAAGGGATTCGGAAATCCAAGCCCACCCGCAGAGGCTGGGTGGGAGGGAGTGTGGGTGCTCACCTGGGGGAGCTCTCAGGGTGCGGGCTGGCACTCTGCCACCTGCTGTGTCTATGGCCAGGGCCCCAGGGCAGGGGAGGAGGTTGCTTGGCTCCTGCAGGGCGGGAGGGGCTGGGCCCCATTGTCGGCACCGTGGGGGTGGGGGTGTCCCCAGTTGATACCTGGGCAGGCTTGGAGTTCTTGATTCGTGGAGGGTGAGGGCTGGGCTGGTCCCTCTCGGGACTTGCTGAGGTTCACCCTCAGGTGGGCTCTCCCACTCAGGACCCTGAACGAGGGTCACTCGGGGACCCCACTCTCTGCCTGCTGGGGGCTATAAGTGGGCGGTGCCAGAGACCCCTGGGGCTGGCTGGCTCAGCCTCCCCTGACTACAGCCCGGGGCTGCTTTTGGTTTCTGGGCTCTGAATGCAAATGCTGACCCCAGGAGCACTGGACTGTGTCTTAAGTTCTCGGAACTTCTGCAGGTATGACCTCGTATTCCTTACCATGACCCCTGGGTGGGTGTGATTGGTGCCCCCATTTTGCAGAGGAGGGACAGAGGTAGCTGCACAGCCCACAGACATCTCTTTCTTGCTGTTGCTGGGAAGACAAGATTGGGGGGTGGGGGCCCTGGTCCAAGGCCTATGTGGGCGCAAGTGCCTGGAGGGACGGAGCCTGTTCAGGGAGCAGCAGCACAGGCAAGGCTGGCCCCAGGCTGGTCTCCGGTGCCTCTGACGTAGCGAAACCTCCCATGCCAAGGCCCCACTGCTGGGCTGGCTCCAGGTGCCCCACGCCCCACACCTGAGCTCATACCTGGGGCTGTGTTCACACCCGAGGCTGCCCACAGCACTTCACAGGCCTGCGGTGCCCGGCACCCTTTGCACCACGAGTTAACCATTAATGTGGCCGAGGTGGCCACGCAGGGTCTGGGACGAGCCTGGTCCCCAGTGCCCGAGGGGCCGGCTGCCCTGTGGGGTGGGCTGCCTGGTCCAGGGTGCAGAGCTGACCATCTGCCTAGAGGGGGCCTCCAGGTCTCCAGACCCCCGGGAGGCAGGGCCCGCTGGGCTGGGGCACCTGGACCCAGTCTAGGGCCTCATTGTCAGCTTTCTTCAACCTCCGCATGCTCGGGGGTCTCCAGGCTCTGCTACCTTGCAGCCTCAGTTTCCCCAGTGGACAGTGAGAGGTGAAGTGGGTGGTCCTCACAGACTGTTCAGGATTGGTGGCGTGTGGGGCTTGGGGAGGGCAGAATGGTGGCTTGTCCCCTGTGAGGCCCCACGTGGCTCCAGCACCCACATCCTGGCTCTGTCACTCCTTCCACCGGGGTCATCTTGGGGACGGGGGGCTTGCCTGTGCCCCAGTTTCTTTCCCTGTAAGTAGAAGTGATAACCCTGCCTCCTACAGGATGTCTAGGAGGATTCAATGAATGTTAGAATTTGGGCTTTTACAAGGAATGTGCCTGGGGGAGCCAATTCTCTAAGGGCTCAGGCCCTCTGCTCACTGGGTGGGGGCGGGAGCAGGGGCACAGCTGTGGCTCCCCCAGCCCGGGGCCAGTTGCGTGGCTGCCTCCAGTGCAGGCGCTCAGTGGCTGTGTATTAAGTGATTGTTGATGCCAGGTGCATGCATGCACTGTGTGTGCGCGTGATGCACGTGTGTGTTATGCATGTGTGAGGTGGAGTGTTCCCATGAATGGGCATGTGTGTGCATTATGCACATGTGTGCTTATGTGTGTATGTCTGTGGGGTGGAGTTGCACTCCCATGACTGTGTGTGCATTATACATACGTGTGTGTGTGTGTGTGTGGAGGGGGTGGAGTGGAGTTGCACTCCCATGACTGTGTGTGCATTATACATACGTGTGTGTGTGTGTGGAAGGAGTGGAGTGGAGTTGCACTCCCATGGTGGAGTGTGTGTGTGGGGCGGATTGCGCTCCCATGATGGTCTGTATGTGTGTGTGCATGTGGGGGGTACTCCCATGACAGGGCATGTGTGAGTGTGTATGGGGTGGAGTTGCCCACCCATGACGGTCTGTGTGCATGTGCATTATACACACGTGTACATGTGTGGGATGGAGTTGCTCACCCATGACGGTCGTGTGCGTGTGCATTATACTCACATGTGTACGTGTGTGGGGTGGAGTTGCGCTCTCATGACAGAACGTGCTGGTTCAGGATGGGTTGTGGATGCTCGGGGCACCTGCCCTGGAGGGTGGGGATTGGATTTCTTGCCCTCCATTCTTGAACACCTGGAGGTTATGCCTCGGGCTCTCTTGGGTGGGGGTGCTGTGGAGAGAGGCTCCCAGGCGTGGTTCTGCCGCAGCGCCAGGGCTGGCGTGGCCACAGACAGCAGTCTCCAGTGTGCAGAGGGGGCCCCCTGCTAAGTTCTGGGCTGTGTTTGCACTCCCCTGCCTGGAAGCCCCATCCTGTGCAGCTCCTGTGATGGCCTGGGGTCCTGGCCCGTGTCGCTGAGGCCAGGCGTCCTCTGAACCCAAGGGGAGACCCTGGGCTGGGGCTGCTTGGTGGCCATGGGTCATCAGGCCAGCAGCCTGGGGCCACTGCCTGGACTGTCCAACCACCAGTGTCTAGCCCAGACCTCCTCGTGGCCCCTGGGGCTACGTCTGTTGCTTCTCCTTGGACTGGGTGGGAGGGGTGGCCACCAGCCAGGCTCCGCAGCAGTAAGTCCCATTCCTGGGCCACGGCTGCTTTCCTTTGTAACAAAGCACATGTCTGAAAGCAGTCCCCAGCTGCACATATGTGCACCAGCAAACGCCTTCCCTGACGCCTGTGCCCAGAACCCCAGCTTTGCTGTGTGCACCCTTCTGACCCCCTGGCATACATGAGCCTTTGGGTTCATTTCAAACAAAAAATGGGACCAGGCCACAAAACACCGCTATAGTGTGTGGTTTTTTTCACTTGCCCCCCCCCCCCACTGAGGTAGTACCTGGGAGGAGGTCAGATTGGAGGTCAGGCCCTCACACCGCTCCCTCCCCCCCCACACCCAGGTAGGGCTGAGCACACCCCCAGCTCCCTGTGTGCCTCTCGGTGTCCAGAGCTCCATGTGGGTGTTCACCGCTGGGCTCTGCTCTCCCGGGCAGGTGGCCAAGGTGGAATATGTCAGGAAGAAGCCAAAATTAAAAGAAGTCCAGGTGAGGTTAGAGGAACACTTGGAGTGCGCGTGTACGACCACCAGCCTGAATCCGGATTACCGGGAAGAGGACACAGGTGAGTGGCTGCCTCCATCGTTATCGTCCTTTGATAGGGTCCTTGGAGCCTGTGGGACCCTCGGTGGGTGGTGGCACCGGGCTGCCAGTGAGGGAGTCGGTAGCCTTGCGGGTAGGTGCGCACCTGTACACCTGGGGGTGCTGGGAGGCAGATCTGCACCTGCAGGTGGGGGGAGGGGGTTTGAGCTGGGTGGGACGTGCTGGGTGCGCAGGTCACCTGCAGCCTGGTGGGCCCGGGCACCAGCCTGAGAAGCGGCTGCAGAAGGCCCCGCCCAAGAGGTGCAGGTGGGAGGGCGGCTTCCGCATGGCTGCCGGGGCCCCGTGCCCAGGAGCAGCGTGGGGTTGGGGACCTGCCACGTTGGGGCCCTGGGAGCAGAGGGACTCTCTGTGCCAGGCGATGGAGTCCTCCTAGAAAGATAAACACCTCAGGTGTTTATTGCTCGGTCTCCGCCCGACAGCCTTCCCTCAGGCCCTCTCACCGCCCCGCCCTTTTGTTAACAGGAAGGCGTAGGGAGTCAGGTAAAAAACGGAAAAGAAAAAGGTTAAAACCCACCTAACGCAGCCAACCAGGTAGGACCTGACCGCTGGACGTGCCACGATCCTGCAGGGCTGGGAGAGGCAATCTCGGATCACTCCCTTGAATCACGCTTCCCAAGTCGCGGGCGGCGGGGCCGTGATTGGCCTCGGTGGTTCTGCGGCTTCCGGTGCCTGCTGGGCTCGGGTCTCCTCGCTCCCTGTCCCCTCCTGCCGCACAGAGAGCTCTGATCCACGGCTCACCTCTGCTCTGGGGCCCCTTCTAGCTTGGTTCTTCTCTTTGCCATTGATTGGGGACACAGAGGTGTCGCACGTGAGTGGAACGGTTGGGTTTTCTGAGCAGCAGTGGAGCACCGCTGACTGCAGACTGCTCTGGTACCCCCAGGGCAGGTCATCCCCCCATTTGACAGATGTAAAAACTGAGGCTTAACAGAGATTGCGGATAAGTGTTGGGAGCTGAGTGGATCTGGAAATACCTTATAGATGTGCAGGGCTACTGGCCGCTGTGTTGAAAATTGCGTTTGGCCACCAGTAAACCAGAAACAACAGGGAAGATGGAGACAAGGTGAACTCAAGGTCATAACTCCGTGTGAAGATGGGAGACCAGAGCAGGTGGGGTAGTCTTGAAGCATCATCAGGGGGCTTCCATTTGGGGCTAATGGCCTCTGTTCTCAGAGTTGTCTCATGGCTCAAGGTGGCTGCCAAGGCTCCAGCAATCACATCCATGCTCTAGGCTGAGAGAGAGAGGGATGGGAGATGGCCAGGAGAACCCCTTAGAGAGCTTTCCTGGAAACCCTACTGCTGCCACCTTTGTTTTTCATATCTGCTGTCCCTTGGCTGCAAGGGACCCTCAGAAATGTCTCCTAGGGAGGAGTGCTGCTCCCAGAAGAAAAGGAGACCTGAGCAACCACAGCCTTCATGGAGGAGGCAGGTCTAGGCCCTCCTGGTCCTTCCTCCTGGCACGAGGGATGCTGTGGCGTTGGAACAGAGGAGAGTCCCAGAGACAGGGTGTCCGTGAAGCCTGGCTCCCGTTGGGCAACCTGTGATTTTGAGAGCCTGGGTCAGGTCCGTTACTGAGGATCCTCTTGGGAGAAAGGCGTCCATGGGGAAGGTCTTCAAAGCTTCAGGGGTGTGGTGTGGTGGGTGGTTTCTCACCTGCCTGTGTACCCAGCCTCTGCAGAGTGAGGCTCAGACCTCCCTGGGCCTGCTTGTGATGGAGACTCCAGAGTTTGAGGCGGCCATTCCTGCTCCGGCTAGTGCAGGCTCTGGGCCTGTGGGCAGCCCATGTGTTGGAATGTGCAGTGGAGAGACTAACGGGTAGCGGAGAGTCGTCTTAAAGAATTTGGTGTAGATCTGCCTGGTCACAGGGGCACCTTCTCTGTGGCTGTTGGTCTCACTCCTTGGGGTTGCCTCATGGCCCAGGGTGGCTGCCAGAGCTCCAGAAATCACCTCCAAGCCCTAGATCGGAAGTGAGAAAGGGAGGAGGGCAAAAGAACCAATCTGGGCCTCAGTTTCCCCCATCTGTACAATGGGAGAATGGGGCTTGCTCTTCTGTGAGATGCTGTGAGCCTCGTCCTAATTTTGGTCAGGATGTTGCAATGTGGCTAATTTGGCAAATCTGATTTTCGAAATTTCGTGGAAACTAAATCCCCGTGTGCCCCTGATTGGGTGAAACGTCTCACCCCGTTTGCCGTCCACGTAGCGGCGCCCGTGCTCCGAGGTCTCAGTGTCTGTTTCTCTCCCCCCTGCAGACGTGAGGTGAGGCTACGCCGGCAGCCCTGCCCTGGGACATGGATGTACATGGCGTGTTACATTCCTGAACCTACTATGTACGGTGCTTTATTGCCAGTGTGCGGTCTTTGTTCTCCTCCGTGAAAAACTGTGTCCGGGAACACTCCGGAGAACAAAGAGACAGTGCACATTTGTTCAATGTGACATCAAAGCAAGTATTGTAGCACTCGGCGAAGCAGTCAGAAGCTTCCTTGTCAAAGAGAGAGAGAGAGAGAGAGAGAGAAAACAAAACCACAAAACACGACAAAAACAAAACGGACTCACAAAGTCTCCACACAGCGCGCGCACGGAGGGTCGCCCCGCGGGATGGAAGCGCAGAGGTCTCCGCAGACGGGGTTTCTGTCCGGCGGCCGCAGGTGCTTTCTGCCCAGGACGCAGAGCCTGCGCGGGCGCGAGGCCGGGGCACGGCGGGCTCCGCGGGGAGCAGGGACGCCGGGCGCCGCGGCCACGCCAACGGTAGAGACCACACCTCCTGGCTGCAGCGCCCGAGTCTATACAGAAACCTTCCTGAGAGCCTTAAGTGGATTTTTTATTTACACCATAAAGTGATTACTAAGCTTTCCTTTTTACTCTTTGCCTAGCTTTTTTTTTTTTTTTTTTTTTTAATTATGTCTTGGATGACATTTACACCAATAACACACAGGCTGCTGTGACTGTCGGGACAGCGAGACGGTATTTTTCCTAGCAAGATGCAAACTAATGAGATGTATTAAATAAACGTGGTATACCTACCTTAAGCATCATCTCCTAACTCCTGCTTTGTGTCTCCCTCAGTCCACTGTTACCTTTTTAATTTAAGCCATTTTGAGAGAACTACGCGTAAATCAATCGCCTGCCGTCCCCGTGGCTCCTGCCCCCCCCAACCCCAGGCCACGTTCCCGGAGCGCGCGCCACCGTGGGACGCGGTGTTCCCGAGCGTGGCCGGCAAGACGCTTTGCTGCTTCTGTCTGTCGCTGACGTGCCCCGGCGGTGGGGGCCGCTGCCTGCGGCGGCCAGTGTCGGACAGAACCCAAATTCTTTATTTTTGGTAAGATGTTATGCTTTATGTGTATTGACTGAAATGTGTGTTGGTTTGTTTTCATTTTTTTTTTTGTAAAGGTGAAGTTTGTATTTTTATCTAATATGACAGTTTTATATACCTAAGAGCCTGCTATTTTTTTTTTTGATCCAAAATTAAAAAAAAAAATTCCCAGCAACAAAACCTGTGCACATGAAAAAGCATTTCGTGGTCAACGTTTTTGTAGTACTGAGTGTGCACCCCCGTTCCCTGGTCACACGTGCAGCGTCGGGTGGAGACTAGGAGACCGGAGCGCTCTGGGACGGTGCCCCGGACCCCCACAGTGAGCACCCCGGGAACACCGGGCCTCCTCGGACTCCAGAAGCTACGGGAGTAGGCCGCACACGCCGTCGCCGCCTCGGAGCAGCCAAAGGAATGGCCGGAAATGTTATCCAAGGAGGGAGCCGGCCTGGCCGTGTCCACTCCCGGGGCCCTGCTGGCCCGGCCCGGCCCGGCCCGGCGGCTGTCCCCACCTGCCACCTCGAGGCTGACGTGACATCGAGATCCCGTGGGTCTTGGCCCCTGCTGCCGCGGGACTGTGCAGAACGGCGGCTGTCGCACGTGTGCTGGTGGAAGACTTTTGTAAAGGACTGTCTTCAACTGGTGCAGTTTTCAGGCCTCGGTCGGTCGGACGCTTTTCAAGTGGGCAGAGGCGGGCCTGGGACGGGGGGCTGCGCCGGGGCCGGAGACGCCCTGCCCCAGCTCCGTGTGCTGTGGCCGAGTGCCGCGCCGCTCAGTGCTGTGCCCGCGAATGTACGTCTGACGTGAGGTGTGCAAACATGTAATTTATGTATTTATGTTTCCGTGAGATGCTGATGATACTGCTCAGATTCTCTTTTTTTGCGCAAAGCCGTCTGGTGACTTGCTGTGTCCATTAAAGCAATGGAGCAGAAAAGCCTGGTGTGCTCTTGGGGAGGAGGAATCCCACTAGAAGAGGGCCCGAGCCCTGGGCGGTGGCTGGTGCCCCCCCCACCAGGAGGCTAGGCTCCCCTCCCCCTCCCTCTCTCGCTCATTCACCTTGGTGGCAGGTGAGGGCCCCGCCCCAGCGTGCGGGAGTGTGGGGCAGGCAGGAGGGGCCTCTCCTGCCAGGAAGGGTTGGCAGTGGAGGCCACGTCTGCAGCTGGCTTGTTTCTGAGCTGCCGCCCACGGGCCTGCAGCCTGCAGCCTTTGTTGCGGCTCTGCCCCGCATTCCAGGCATTTCTGCTCCTGCCTGGGCCCCCTCCCAGGCCCATGGCCCTGGGCTGCACCTGGGCGTGGGCCCCCAAGTCAGCTTTCTGCTCAGGGTTGGCTCTTTGCATCTTGTGAGTCCCTTGTGAGTCCCGTGACCTTGGGCAAGGGGCCTCCTCTGCACCTCAGTGCGCACCTGCGACATGGAGCCCCGGCCCCGCGTGCCAGGGTGCTGCTTTTGTCTGTGGCCTGGGAGCGTTTTCTCCACATCGTCGCGCTCCGGGCCTGGACACTGCAGGAAACAGCCCTTGGGAGCAGGGTCGCTCACCTGGGCACACCTTGCCAGGACGACTCCTCTATCTGGGGGTGTTTCCCTGTCTTTTTGTCCAGGCCTCTGTCCTTGTCTGTGATCTGGGTTGGCTCTGGCTGGGTCCCCAGGCAGTGTCACCCTCCAGCCCCGGCTCCCCACGGCTGTCTGGGGATTAGGCGTCCCTCAGGTTAGGGTTAGCATCCTCAGCGCAGCCACAGGGCTGGCCTCACAGGCCGCCCCTCTGCTGCTGCTTTCCCGTGTGGCTCCTGGGCTGCTCGTGGGTGCTTGGAGCCTTCTGTACGTGGCCCGGCTCCTCCCGGCTCCTCGGGACGCTGGGGTGGGACTTGAGGACGTCACTCGCAGGCTGTGCCCTTGGTGCGCCCTGCCCCGGGGGCCCAGCAGACTGACTGTGGGAATGGCGGGCAGTCCTCAGGGTTGGGGCAGCAGGGGGGCCTGTGCTGTGGGGCCTTCTCTCCAGCACCGGGCAGCGCTGGTGCCTTGTGCCGCCCCGTACTCCTCCCGGGGTTGTGTCTGGGCAGGTGCCGGCTGCTGGGCCCAGGACTGCGGCCCTGTGCCTGCTCTGTGACCAAACAGTCCAGTTCAAAGAGGTTTACATCCCTGGAACGGGATCGAGTTAGCTACAGCATGGACCGCAGAGGAGGGAGAGCAGGGATTTGAACTCAAGCCCTGTGGCCGTGGGATCCCCGCCCTGATGGGACCCCCTTCCCTCCCCAGTTCCCTTGAAGGGGGCCTCCTGGGGCCCCTGCCTGGACAGCCTGGCTGCAGGGGCTTGCTGGACACTCCAGGCAGGGGGCTGGGGGCTTATGTGGAGGGGACCACGGCCAGGTGGTATCAGCTTCCGGGGGCCAGCGGGCAGTTCCTGGGGGCATCATAGTGTTTCCTCTCCCGAGAGGAAATCTGCAAGACGGTCAGAGCGGCTGCCCCACTGTACAGGTGAGGCCCAGGGCCGTGCAGGTGAGGCCCAGGGCTGTGCAGGTGAGGTCGCAGGCAGAGGAGCGCCGGGGCTGAGGCATCAGCAGGCACACGGAGGTGGGGTTTGAGGCCAGCCCCACCAACCCCCAGGTCCTGGTGCCTGTCTGGCCTCCTCCCTGCCGTGGGACGGGCTGGATCCCAGCGGTGGACTAAGATACGACTGCCGCTCAGGCCGTGGTGGTTCATCGTGGGCTGTGGTGTGAAGTGTAAATAGTTTTAATTTCAAAGAGAATGTCGACTTAAGTAAAAGTTCAGGGCCCAGGGATAGGGTGGACTTGGAGATGTGATGGGGTCATGATGTGTCTTCTGTGACAGGGACACAGGGGAGTGACCACCAGCCCGGAACCCACTGCCATGGGCTGAGGCTGGACTCTTCCCATGGCCCGGCCTGCACCCTCAAACCTTACTGCCTGGCCTCTGACCTCATGGAGCCTCAGTTTCCCCATCTGTGAGTGGCCTGAAGGTGGTCAGGAGGTAGAGGAGGCTGTGAGCTGTGGTGCTGGGTGGCACGTGAGGCTGCTGTGACTGCCCCAGACCGTCCTCCCACCCTGGCAGCCAAGGTGGGCACTGGTCCCCCGGGTGCGCGTTCCCTGCACCTGACGCCGGGGCTGAGGCTGCGGCCCTACCAGCTGGGAGTCCTGGGGGTTCAGGGAGGGGCTGGAAGGCCGGTGCTGGGGGTCCTTAGGGCACCTGGCGATTCCCAAGCAGCGTCCTGCCCTGGGCTCTAGGCCACGCACATACCTGCCTGCTGGGCCTCCCACCTGGTGCTGGGACCACAGACTCCTGCGGCTCCCTCCCAGCCCTGGCCTGGGTTTGGCCCACCTGGTTCAGGTGCATACACCTGCAGACCTGCCCCGCCCCCATGTTAGACCCCTTGCCGAGTCCTGGGAGCTCTGCTCCGGGTTTCAGTGAGGGTGTGGAAAACCAGCTCACAGTGGAGTAAGAGGGGCTGGGGACTCTGCCTCTGGCCTGTGTGGCCTTGGCCCAGGGTCCTGCCATCCCCCTCGAGGACGGCTGTTCCCAGAGGGCCGACGGCCACATGGCCTCCACAGGGCCTCAGTGCTCTGGCGTTGGCCTGTCACACACAGGAGCCCAGGGTTTCCCCGCACAGCCCAGGGGACGCTGGGCTGAGCTAAGATCTGTCAGCAGCTGGGCCCCATGTCCCATCCCTGCTGTAGGACAGAATCCACTGGGCAGAGGATGGGGTTCCTGGAGGAAACTAGGGTGCTGTGCACATATGGGGCTACTAAGTGGGATGGGGGCGCCTTGGCCTGGGTGTCCCCAAAGCAGCGCTGGAGAGCTGCGGGCAGATTGCCGGAGGGCAGATCCCAGAGCAGGAGTGAGGGGTGTGAGGCAGCCACGGGGGAGACTCACTGAGTCAGTCCCTGCAGCTCCCTGGGGCCTTGGGGTGCCTGGAGGGACTGCTGGGGCCAGCTGTGTCTACCCCCCACCATCCCCACGCGGGCTCGAAGACCCTGCCTGCTGTCTGCGGCCTGGCCTGCATCGAAGGAGTATAGAGGCATCCCCCACAAGCAAGACTCCCCAAACCCCACTGCCCCCCAGCACCTCACTACCCCCAGAACCCCACTGTCCCCAGAACCTCAAACCTGAACCTCACTACCCCCAGAACCCCACTGCCCCCTAGAACCCCTACTGTCTCCTGGAACCACACTGCCCCCCAGCACCCCACTGCCCCCTGGAACACGGAACCTCCCAAGAATCCCATTGTCCCCTAGAAACCCACTGCCCTTAGAACTCTATTGCCCCAGAACCCCATTGCCCCAGAACCCCACTGCTCCCTTAGAACTCTACTGCCCCCAGAACCCTACTGCCTCCTGGAACCCCACTGCCCACAGAATCCCATTGTCCCCCAGAGCCCTACTGCCCCCCAGAACCCTACTGCCCCCCTAGAATCCCATTGTCCCCCAGAACCCTCCTGCCCCAGAACCCCATTGTCCCCCAGAGCCCTACTGCCTCCTAGAATCCCACTGTCCCCCCAGAAGCCCACTGCTCCCCTTGCTCTCTGAGTGAAGCTGACAACCTCTAGTGACTTTGGTGCATGCCTGTCCAGAACCAGCCCCGGCCGCACTGCTGGCCCATGAGTACCTGCCTCATGCCCCAGACACGCTGGCTTGGCCCCTGTGGGGCAGGAACCCGCCTGGGGCCCAGAGCGGGCGGATGGCCCAGGCGGAAGGATGGGGCCAGAGCTGCAGCCTGGAGGACAGTGAGTGCCCTGGCCCCACTGCCCCTGAGTCTATTTGTAAGGGGCTGACATCAGCAGGCCTTTGCGGCCACTGAAGGCAGCATGTCAGGAGCCCCCTCCCAAGGCCCCTGCTCGCCCGGTGACACTGCTGTGCTGTGAGCGGGACTCTGGTCCCTGCAGGCCTGGCTGGAGCACTGACCAGCCGCCCCCACTCTCAGGCCTGGACTGGGGTTAGGAAAGCGGGTGCTCACCCCCCCCCCCAGGGCAGCCCAGGGGTGTGTGGGGACCCGGCTTAGCTGGCTGTGGGAGGGCGACCTCACCGAGCCCTTGGGCTGGGCAGGTATCCTGGTCCGGAGGAGTCAAGGGGCAGGTTGGTGATGGCGGGCCGAGCGCCAGAGCGCCAACCCTCCCCCAACGCCCTGAGCGCCCCTTGATGGGAAGGATGGAGCAGAGGACTTGTTCTCACGCTGCTGCCCGCCTCCCTGAAGCTCAGAGGGAGGCCTGGACCAGGCAGCCTCTAGGTTCCGGAAGCTTCCCTCCCCCCCATAGGGCTGAGCCTGCCCTGCACGTCCTGGCCCTCTCACCCTGCCCGCCTCTCCTTCAGGCCAGAGAGGCCACGGTGCCTTGTAGGGCCATCCCTGTCTGCCCCCTCACTAGCCTAGGACCCTGGGGCAGGGCTGGGATCTGAGTCTTTCCTGTGCCCCCTCATCGCTCAGGGAGACTTCGGCATTCGAGGCTGCACCGATCCTCCTGGGTGGGGCCAGGACCCCGCATGGCCCAGAGGTGACAGCAACAGGAGCTGGCCCCCACCCGCCCTGGCCATGACTGGGGTCCACCCCCACTCCCCGCGGCACTCAGACAAAAAGCGTGTGGTTTCTGCAGCATAAAACAATGGCTGTTTCCAACCCGGCCTTTGAGCCACTAGAAAATGTGGAGTATTCATTATCCAGCCCTGGCCTGCGGACCAGTGGGCAGCGGTCCTCGGAGGGCTGACCTGAAGGGCTGCCCTGCCACGCACTGGCGTCCCCCTGCACCCACTGCGGCCCGAGGCCCAAGGCCCCTGCCAGCCAGGCTGGCGCCAGGTGGCCCCGTGGCCTGGGCGTGGGGCTCCCTGGCAGTCGGGGCTTCCCTCCCCTCTGAGCTCCCTCCAAGCAGCGAGGCCGGGCAGGGAGCCCACTGCAGGCTCCAGCCCAAGCTGGGGGGCTGCTTTGACAGCACCCCA